TGTTTTTTGATTGTGATGGAACAGATGTTAAACATCTTGTTTATTACATGTCAATAACGAGACAAGCCTTTTAGTGTGATCCAAATACCTTCTCACTGCAAAAATTTCGTAAAAAAAGACAATTCAATGGTGCAACCAAAAATAATTAATTGAAAAGAATTTTGCAACTATAGTTATAGTTTTGTTTATTGTACTTTTATAAGAGTATTAGTTTTAAAAAATGTTGTGTTTTTCAGTTTTGTTTCATAAAAACAAATAATTGATTTATTATAGTTGTACTATAAACAAAGTTGCACCGACACGTCATAATTGCATAATTTTACAAATAGCTTCAAATAGTTTTATAAAACAATTGCTTGTTATTTTTCGGTGTTGAAAACTTTTTAAAAATACAATTTATTAATATGTTCTATATTTTTTCAAATTGTTAGCTTGTGTTTTAACCATTTTGTTTATAATTATTCCATAAAATTACGAATTTCTATTTTACGCCACCATTTTAACCAAAATCGTGTATTTGCCGTCTAATTTTAGTAAATCACAATAAATAACAGTTTGTGTCACAGATCATTGACCATTTGTATCCATACTAAAAAAACTGATATTTTAATAACCAAAAAATTACAACTAAATAAAAGAAAGTTAATAAAACTGAATCACAAAAAGATTTTCGTGTTTCATTTTAAATGTTTTGTTATAATTAGTCTCCACACGTTTGTAACGACCAATCAAAAACAGATGTGAAAATCAGCTTAAATTTATTGCCTAATTTTCTGTTTACAATAATTATAATCAATATGTTAAATAAATTAATAAAAAAGTCCAATTCAAATAGGTGAAATTGGTCAACAAAAATTCAAAAACCGATTCCAACACGTCTTTTATTAATAATTTTAAAAACATTTAATTGTTAGAACAAAACAACAACCGCTTTTGACCAACAACCCATTTAAATATAACACTTGAAGAATACTCTAAATGTATCATTTAAACTTTCTTTGTCATTTTTAATGGCATTTTTTGTGTTTGTGTTGTTGGCAACGAATTGTGTGTTTTCAAAGGACATCCACATCGTTTTCACTGCCTCAACCATACCAAAACGTTATAATTACATTCAGATAATGATAGACTATTTTATTCACGCTTACAATCATGACCACATCAATTTTACCGTTGATTTTATGTTTGTCAAGGGGTGTCAAAAGGTGTGTGATTACCCATCATTTGACAAGCAAATATCAAGGTTGATTCAATATGGTATCAAAGTGTATAACGTCTCTTTGGATTCTATACCATTAAACAAAGTGGAAGATCCAGGAATGACTAAGTACCAAGACAAATTTGAGAGTTGGATCATAGACTACAGAAAAGATATTGTGAACGAAAGAAACGGCACTGTATACTCATGGTTTGTGAAAGACAACACCATTAATCATTATGCATTCACACTTGCACGATATGCAATGCAGACAACAAATGCAGACTTTTTGATGTTTCTGGAAGACGATATAGTGGTCCAAAAAAACTTTTTTACTATCATTCGAAATACCATTAGAGATTATAAAGAAGGACAATACGTTGCGATCAAAACGATGATAGCTGATGAAAAGAATATGAAATACAAATTTCATGACAAACAACTTGGATTTTGTATAGCAAGTTTGTTTGGGGTCATGCTTGGTAAAAAGGAGTTTAAAAAAGTTGAGAAGTTTCACAAATATATAAAGTGGGGTGTTTGTGTCGACGCCTATTCGTGCTATATGGACGACTTTCTAAATATGTCCACTGTGATGTTTAACACGGCCAAACATATTGGATACGAAAAACCTAAATCGTATTATTCAAAATTCTGGATGTGATAACCAGTTGTTTACTTATTTAAATTGTTATAAAATTATGATATCTATTTAATAAAAAAGTGTATTTTATTTAACCAACGCTTTTTATGATTTTGTTTATTATTATTTAAGACCTTATTTTCATTAATATACCATATGTGTATGTAATTGTATTACTTGATTAACCAAACAAATTGTTATTGATCAAATATTACGATCATCAACAAGCAATCTTTTAATTAAAAAAACAAATTGTTATTATTCGTTTTTGATTATACTTAATATAAATAAAGATTGTCAAAACTGTTTTAATTAAATTATTGATACGTTTATTTCTCAAAATACTATAAGTTTTAATAATTAAGGAAAAATATCGAATTTGTACAATAAAATTTATATTTTTGCCCAAAAAAGAAAATATTTAATTTAATATGTTTTGTTTTTGTATTTAAAAAACATGTTAACGTTGTTTTTGAGTCACATATTAATATATATATATATCATTAATGCAGTTTGATAGATTACAAATTATAAATATATAACATTGTTTATATTGATATAAATCGAATTAATATGTAATCTAACAAGACAATTAAATACAAAAATGACAAAAATGTTTAAAATATTATGCCAATGAGATGTAAAAAATATCATAACTTTTGTAAATTGTGTCATTATTCACGTTTTGTGATAATAATGTTATATTTAAAAATGTACTTTATAAATTATAGTGGATATTAACAATCCTATTGATTCAAATATTGTTGATTCAAAGTGTTCTAATGACAGAGAAATTAAAAACAACATATTTATATTATTATTTGTATTATCTTATAATATTCATTAAATTTTAATTATTAAACGTATTAAAATTTCATTGTTTAATATTAGCAAATTTAATAATTAAAAAACATTTTTGTTATTTTAGAATTGTTCTAGTGAAATCACTGATAGAACGAAAGGCAAAACACTAAAAATGTATTTGGATATAAAATATCGGATTCACGATATTTAAACATATTAATGCTCAACTTTAGTTTACTCCGTTTTCTTGGTCTTTTACTGTGGAATTTGATTATAAAACCAAAATCCAATAAATAAGACCGACTCAACTTCTGGAAATTATTTATCTCAGATGAGCGAGCACAATGGCGTTTAATTTATTATGGGTTTCATTTCAGTATATGGTTTAATAACCAATTTTATATAGATTATATTGACATACCTGAAATAATGCTCAGATTGCGCATTAATTCGAAACAATTTACAAAAATTACATAATTGAATTACAGTATTTTTAATTATATTTTATTTAAAAAGTAACGTTTAGTTTTCAATAATTATCGAATAAGTATACAATTATTGCAAAAAATACGAATTACTTTACGAATAATAAAGCAAATGTTTTAAATCTTTATATCTTTAATTCAAATTATTGGTTATTTTTTTGTTTTTAATAACTTTTTATGATGTTATTAAATTTTATGATATTATTTTATATTTTATTATCAATTTTAATTGTAATTGTAATAAATTTATTATAAATTAATTATAATATTCATATAATTTGATTACATGAATAACTAAACAGTGATAATAATTAACTTAACACTTTAAATAACACTAAACCAATAATAAATGGTCATTAAATAGTGCAATCACGAGTTCATTGTTTGTCTTTGTTGTTTTTTATTGTTTAATATGTATATATCATCAAACAAGTCAAAAAGAAAAATATTTAAAATAGTTATAGAATAATGTAAAAACAGGTCAATAATATAACAAAAATGTTATTTCATGTGTTAGTCTGTTTATTATTATAGTTTATTATCAATTTTAACTGGTAAGAATGAAACTGGTTGAATTTTGATTATCGAGTTACAACAGAAATTATAATAAAAATTATAAAAACATGGTTTTGATTTTTACAACTGTTTTTATTGTTTATATGACGTGTTTTTAGTCACTATATATTATTAAGTTTTTTTTGTTCAATCATATACGCGTTTACATGATATTGTTTTAATACTGATATTCTGATTAAGTTATAAAAACTCGTTTTTGTTGTATTGATATAAAAAAGTGCAATTATTCGTTATTACTATCGCTATGAGTTTGATATTAAATTGATAAAAATGAACCGACAAAATAGTCTTTGTTTGTTTTTATATTACAATTTATTTTTAATAACAATAATACACAACCAATTGTTTGATGAAAATTGTACATAGCATATATTATCAAATCTACAATCATATCACAGTTATTAGAACAAACAATATTTTGATTGTTTTAATTATTAAATTAATTCAAATTCAAATATATTTTTAAACAACACGACGATGTGATATAATAAATTTGTCAATACAAACAAAAAACAAAGCAATACAAATTATTTATTGTTTTTACTTTTCAAAAACCGTTTTGTTGTTGTATTTATTTTCAAACCACCTGTGGATGTACCTCATTTCCTTTTCGAAATTCTTTTCATTCATCTCGTCGTTCACACCAAGTGCATATGGTTGTGTTTCGTTTGCAATTATTTTCTGCATGACGTTCCACGTGTGGTCATCTCTCATAGAAAGGAATGTGGATTTGTTATCTTGTTCGACATTGACCAAGTCCTTTTGACAAGACATAGTTGCCATACAAGAACGACCAATTTGTGCTGTCCCACCTTCTGAATTTGGTTTTTCTTTGTTTGTTAGTTTCACTTAGAAACGCCACTTCGACTTCTTTTAATATGCTTTTTCTGAACAAGTGTGGGGTGTGTGACATGACCATATTCGAGTGGTTTGGATCTTTTTCAAAATACGTGTTGATGAGACTGTTCGAATGGAACATGCAACTCCAAAATTGGTTATTTGCAAAAGGTTTGCTATCGACGGGCACTATCTGTTCTGTGTGTATCACAAGTTTGTCTTCTTTGACATAGAAGTCTGGTGGTGTTGGTCGATAGAAGAAAAAGTCGTCTCCCAGAAAGACAAAGCACTCGGACAAGTTTGGGATTTTGAACAATACGTTTCGATTGCTTCTGAATTGAATGTTGGCAAAATCGCATCACTGATTAAATCACTGTGTGGTATCACCTCAAGTGTCATGTCGTTTTTGGTGATCCTGAAATGCGTCAAATTACCAGGCGACTCAATGAAGTCAGGGATTTGGTCGGCGGTGACCAAAAAGTGGTTTTTGATGTATGGCAAGTACTTTGAGACACTTCTCATTGAGTATTTCAGAACTCTTGAATCGCGATATCTTGTGAAGTCGATAGTGTGCGCATATCGATTTAAATTGGAACACCATGTCGGGTCACTGCCATTCACCCATATCCACACAGCATCGATGCGGCCATTGCACATCTCTGGGATGTCATCCATCTTTTGCAAGTCAATTTCAGTCTGATTTGTTGGGAACTTGTTGCAATATTTGCACTTTGAAAGTGCTTTTTTGAACATCTTTTTCTCGTCAATTAAATCTTGTGCGCCTTCTGTTGTAAACATGAAAGGATCTAAATTGTCATGTTGTGTTGAGTGTTTGTCAGGAAAGTTCTTGGTGTATTCTTTGAGTTGTTCTTCGGTAAACGTGGGAACTGAGTCGGGGTCATAGCGCGGCTGTTCCATGAGAGTTTCCTCATCTTTAAATGCGATTTTTACCATATTCATTTCATAATCAAAATGCTCGTTTGAAACGGAGTATCTCAGTCTTTTATTTCGTTTCTCACTCACAGACAATATGGCCAGTAAAATAAAACACAGAACCGAAAGAAATAGACATAAATTGAAAAGTTGAAAATGGTTAATCATGTGTATGAATTTGAGTTTGTAAATATTCAATTAATGTTTTGACCAGTATGTGTAGGTTTATTTAATACAAAATAATACTAATATCATTAAATTGTTTTTAAAATCAACTTTTTTCTATTTAAAAAATACTAAAATAAATAATAAATTATAGAAAGATTTAATATTTTTTATTATTTTTGTAATTCGCCAAATTTGATGATTTGAATTGTATCTAATTATTATAATTATTTAAAGATTAAATTTAATCTATATTTTTTTCAATTTCAATTGTATTTTAATAGTTTTTTATTGTTATAATTAAACTATATTATAATATCAAGATAAAAAATGAAAAAAGTAAACCAAATTAAACCATATAAGTAAAAAGCATGATTACTATTATTATTACTTTGTTTTCCTTTTATAGGTCTCTGGGTAGATAACCTTTTTCAAATTGTCACACCCTTCAAAAGCCTTTTTCTCGTTGACACTTTTCAAACTTTCAGGTAGAGTAATTTCTTTCAACGCTTTGCAATTTCTAAAAGCCCATTTATCTATTTGAAATACTTTATTTCCCAATTTGACATTCTCGAGGTTTATACACCCGTCAAAGCATCTAAATGTAACAAATGGATATGAATATGAAACCTCTTTGAGACTTACACAAACACCAAACACAAGATTTCCAATCAAATTCATGTGTTCATTTAACACAAGTTTATCGAGTTTTTCGCAATTTTGGAAACACCTATTCCCAACAAGTCCAAGTTGTTCTGGGAAGACGACTTCTTTCAGACTTTTGCAGTTAGCAAAGACCGATTCTTCAAGCTGTCCCAATTTGTTTGGAAAAACAACAACTTCAAGTTTTTCACAATTCTCAAAAGCGCGTTTTTTAATAAGCTCGACGTTTTCTGGAATCACAATTTTGGTGAGGTTTTTGCACCCACTAAAAACAGATTTCTTGATGATGCACAAATTGTTTGGAAGGACAATTTCCTTGAGACTGACACACCCAGCAAATGCCTCGTTATTCAAAATATCAACATTTTTGGAAAGAACAACTTTACTCAATTTAGTGCAGTTCTTAAAGCACTTTCCTCCCACATAATTGATGGTGTCTGGCATGACCACTTCTTCTAATTTGTCGTTGTTTTCAAATGCGCCGTCTTCTATTGCAACAATTGTAGCGGAAATGACAGCAACAGTCCCAGTAAACTGATTCACATTTTCAATAACATTGAATTTCACAAGATTTGGACAATCAAGAAACACATCTCTTCCACACACCAACGATTTGTCAATGTCCACCTTTCTCAATTGAGTGCAATGATTGAAGGAGTACCCTTCTATTGTTTTGACACTCTTTGGGATGGTGATTTCTTCAAGACTGGCACAACCACTGAAACATTCATATTCAATCAGTTCAACACTGTTTGGTATCACAACAACCTTCAGATTTGGGCATTCAGCAAAACAGCGTTGTGGAAGTGTTTTCACGCCTTCTGTAATGACAACTTTCGTTAATTTGTTGTTTTGAACAAAAGCACCTTCATCCATCTCTGAGTTTGGTATTACCAACTCTTCAATGTCACAGTCTGAAAATGCTCTGATGCCTATTTTCTTCAAGTTTTGTGGGATGCCACGTGTAAAGAGTTTCTTTGTACCTTTGAAAGCTTCTCGACCGACTTCTGTGACATTCTCCATGTTTTTGATTTCGCTCAAATTTCCACAACGCGAAAAGAGACCCTGTGGAACAGCAGTGATGCCGGCTGGAAGTGTGACGCTTCTCAATTTCTCGCAATCTTGACAAACAAACATACCAAACTCAACAACCGAATCTGGAATGACAAGCGTTTCAAGTGATTTGCATTCATTGAACGCAAATTCGCCGATTGAAGTGACAGTAGTTGGTATTTCTATTCTTGAGATGTTAACACACCCATAGACAATACGGTCTGGAATTCGTGTGAATTTCTGATCCCACATCAGTTCAGTGATATTGATGTTGTCTGAAAAGACATGTTCACCGAATTCCTTCAAATTATTTGGGAAAAAGACTTTGTCAAATCCACAATGATCAAACGCAAAATTATCTATTTTGGTAACACTGTCTGGAAGTGTCACTTTTGAGAGATTTTTACAATTAATAAACATATTCTTTGATATTTCTTTGATGTTTCCTTCGATTAAGAACTTCCTTGAATTTGCAGTTCTCAAAAGCACCATCTTCAACAACTTCAATGTGCTTGTGTATTTTAAACACGTTGTCACCATCAAGTGGACAATTCTCAAAACAGCTCTCCCCAAGTTTAGTCACACTTATCGGAATAACAACACTTTTCAAACTTCGGTTGTCTTTGAATGCATTTTTTGGGAGTTCAGTTAATTTGTTCGATAGTCTGATGTGAACCAATTTGTCAAGTCCACTGAAAGCATCCGACCCAATTGTAGTCACATTGTCAGATAACTCAATTGAAGTGAACGCATTCAAGTCAAGGCTTTTGGGGTTATCAGATATTTCCAGTGAAGAAACCGTATTGGAATACAGCACACTTGACCCAAGACTTTGAATGTTATCAGGAACCGTAAACTAAACAAGTTTGTTTCCACAAAACACGCCATCGGATAACGAAGTCATGTTTTTGGAAATTACAATGGAAGTCAGCGGACATTGGTTGAAAGCGTATTCGCCAATTGAGGTCACCGAGTCTGGAATAACAATGCTTTTTAAATTTGTGCAAAAATTGAAAGCATATTTTTCAATTGATTGGATATGACTTGGAATTGTAAATGAATCAAATGTGTGGTATTTGAATTCACTCTCTTTGATTGTTTTTGCTTCTGGAGCAACAAAAGTGGATGTTAAATCAACACCGTCATTTGCGTTATTTGCTTGATTACCTTCTGATGAATGTGTAAACATGGTCAAAAATAATTGTGCTGCCTCGTCATCACCTTCAGTGTCTTCTGAGCTGTGCATTTGTTCTTCTGGTGTCGCATCATCTATTTTTTCGGTAGCATCGGTGTTGCAATTTGTGTCCATTATGATGTTTGTGGTAACTAATAATTCATTTTAATATATAAAACATGTTGTGATAAATGATTGGTCTGTAATTACACATTTATTGTTAAACTACACAACAACTCATATAAACTCTATAATTGTGTATAAATTTCAATTTTATTTGTATTTTAATCATTTAGTTTTCGTTTGTATTGATTGAATTAAAATCGATTATTTTTAATAAAATCAAAATATTAAAAGTGTAATTATTTCCGAGTTTAATAAATAAACAACACTTGTTATATATACAATATTACACAGATTGTTATAAATTAAAATATAAAAAAACAAATAAAATAAAATAACATTTAAAATAAAATGTTGTTTTTTAAACTAAGAAAACAAATTATCATAAAAACGTGTATGTTATTAAAAACACTTTAAAAAACAAAATCAATATTTCACAAATTTAAAAATCTATTTTGAAAGTAAAATTTTCAATATCTTATAAGATAACAATTTCATGTAAAAATCTATTCGATAAAAGATAATAAAAAATACTAAATAATAATAGATGGGTTACTAATACATCAATAAATAATTAAATCAAAAATGATATTTACTTGTTTGTTTTTTGTTGTTGATTATTTTAAGTAAGTGAATTTGTAATAATAAATTGTAATTATTCATATATAAAAACGATGTTTTTATAGTTAAAAATAATCAAATATTAGATAAAAATTGATTACAGTCATAGGCGTCTATTTGTTGAGAATAAGTGAATTATGTAGCAAGTTATTTTGAATATTAATAATTATTATTTATAAAAAAGGTTATTAATTCAACAAAAATTACAGATTTGAGAACATAATAATTAATTGTAGTACACCCAAATGATTGGCGGTTGTGTGACAAATAAGCAATTTCTACAATTAAAATTACGACATATAGACGCCTTTGACTGTAATGTTTATTCTTTTAGAATACTTTTTTGAATTGTAAAATGATACAATAAAGTAAACAATTAACTTTATCACGTTTTTTTAGTCAATGATAATAAACCCAGATAAAAAGAAAAAAATATCAAAAATGTCAATTCCACAAACAAGTAAAAAACAGGTTTTTTAAACCAAAATGTGGTATCTTAAGCAATTGTTCGAAATGCCCAAATAACATTATTTCGCTTTTTTATTCTTCAAAAGTTCGAGTTCTAAACCAATTTTGTGTTATTTAACTGGTTTTTTGTGTGTTATTGTAAAAAATGGACAATATTTGATCACTAACTTTAATTCAAAAATCAGAAAATTAACGACTTTATATTATTAGATATATTAATTGTATATTTACACAAATTAAAACTAAATCTTGAAATCATAACATGGCAACACTTGACAGTTTTCACATCATGATAGTTTCAAAGTATTTTGCAACAATCAAAGACTTTATCAATTTGGAGATGGTTTGCAAGAAGTACAATGGAAACACAAAAAAGTTCCATTTCAACCCAATTCCATTGACACACAAAACAAATATGTTATTCCCAAACATCGAGACACTTCATCTGTGGTCTGAAAAAGACGAAAATTTTGGCAATGAAATTCTTGCCAACACCCAAAACAACACAAAAGGCGAAATCATTGTGAAGAATTTTTTTTATGAAATTGTAGTGTGGTTTAGTGTTGATTATGAAACAGTTGACAAAAACAATGGAAGAAACATCAAGTTCAAAAATGTCACATACACTTCCAACAACATAAATAAATATGGCAATACCATCCCTACCTGCGTTAGGTCACTTGATGACTGTTGTTATTATGACTGTAATAGCATCAACAACGTCAATATACCATCAAACGTTAAATCGATTGGTTATGATTGTTTCTGTAAATGTAGCAATTTGAGCCACATTATAATACCGCCAAGTGTCACTTTAATTGGTGATTTCTGTTTTGGAAGATGTTATAATTTGGATAGCATTGATATCTCATCAAGTATCTCAAAATTGAGTGATCGCTGTTTTTTCGAATGCAGTTCTTTAAGCCACGTAAATATAGCACCAAGTGTGACATCAATTGGGTACAACTGTTTCTCTGGATGCAGCAGTCTTATTGAGATAGAAATACCATCAAGTGTCACATCAATTGATGTAAGTTGTTTTTGTCAGTGTGTCAATCTAAGCAAATTGGTAATACCATCAACTGTCGTGAGAATTTACAATTATTGTTTTTTCAGATGTTACAATCTGAGCAGTTTGGTGATCCCGTCAAGTGTGACTGTAATAGACAACTACTGTTTCAGCGAATGTGTAAAACTGAGAGATGTGAAAATGTCATCAAATTTATTATCACTTGGAAATTATTGTTTCAGTGGATGTAGTAATTTGAGTGTAATAGAAATACCACAAAGTGTTACATCAGTTGGGCAGTATTGTTTTGATAATTGTAGTAATTTAAGAAATGTAGCGGTGCCATCGAGTGTTACATCAATTGGCATTTATTGTTTTGACCAATGCATTGCTCTAAGCAGTGTGGTATTGAAGGCAAATGTCAAGTTGCTTGGTGATAATTGTTTTTGTGAATGTGGCAGTCTTATCAGTCTAGATATACCTTCAAGTGTTGAATCACTTGGTATTTATTGTTTTAATAGATGTTCGAGCTTAAACGATATAATAATACCATCAAATGTAACATTGATAGGCGATTTCTGTTTTGCTGGGTGTAACAATATAACCAGTGTGTGTATATCTTCAAGTGTCGTCATCATTGGCAATTACTGTTTTAGTGGATGTAAATATATAAATGACGTGGATATACCATCAAGTGTCAAATCAATTGGAAACTATGCTTTTAGTGGATGTAATACTCTGAAAATTGTGGAAATACCATCAAGTGTCACGTCTATAGGTAAAAACTGTTTTCCACCACAAACCAAAGTGATTCTACTTAAATAATTATTTCGCAATTATATTTATTATGGTTATTCCTCTTATAAAGAATTAACTTTAATTGGTGTTTTTTCTATTTTTAAGTTGATTTAAAAACATAATCAAAAAGAATTATATTCCCATTTAAAAACAATAAAAAACATTATTTTTATTGAAGTTTTGATAATGTTTAGTTTAAATTAATGAAACATGTTTTTAAATTATAATTTTAATAAGACAACAAAAAATATTGTATTTATTTTATTGAGTCATTTGCTAAACATTGTCTGGTCTGTAACGTTGTCCACTGATGTTTAGACCATTATAAATGGAATATTTCGGGAATTTTTTTGAAAAATCCAAAAATCGTTATATTATTTTCCAGTTTTTTCCTTTTTACCTAATTCCCGTTTTTTTTTTGAAACAAAAAACAATTATTTTTTTGTCAAAAAGACAACGTTTGGGGAACAGAAAACTTTTATTGACTGACTCTACATTTTTTGAAATCTGATATTTAATTGCCTAATCGGTTAAAGTTCTATAACAATTTAAAAAAATCAACAATTTATTTTAGTTGAAATTCATTTCGAATGGAAATACATACAATTAGACAAGTTTGCCTTAAATGGAATAGTTTGACTTAAATTGTTCACGTTAATGGTTTAAAAACTACTAACAATAGTAAACAGTGGGTTAAACTAGAAAAAAAATATAATGGTTAAATAGAATAATATTTAAATTATTATTAATTCTATAGTTTTATGTTACACTCTGATCTTGAAAAATAAAACCAAAACACATGTTAAGTATTGTTTTGTATATTTCAATGTGTTTGTCTCGTTGAGTTCAAACGCGCCAAAACATGTGCCGCCTCATTCGGAAACGTTTGTATTACTTTATATTTATTTTAATATGATAAATCAGCAGTATCTCCTATCGCGATGGAAGAATACCGCTTTTAACTAAACCAAATAATAATATCCATAAAAACGAGTTCAACGCAAGGAAATATTGCCAAACCTCCCAAGAGTGCGATTTATTAAGAATCATCGCTTGATTTTGGCCAATAAAAAGTGGACACACTCTTTAAAGAGCATGTCTATCTTGTTTTTTGTTTGTTCTTAAGAAATGCTCAAATAATGTAGAACAACAAAAATAATAATTACACACTCTAGGGAAATTAGACTGTATTTATAATTGAATTTTAAATGTTATGGTAACTTTATTTGACAAATTTTGATAAAACTTTATTGTTTGTGATTACATTAAAATGTTGGTGATGATCATGATCGTGTGATAGTTTATAATTATCTTTACTTTTTTCATTGCTTTCTTATTCTTTATGTTGTGTGTTTGGGTTTTTGGCTTGCTTTTAATTATTCAATTTTTTATATAAACTTGATAATAAAAAAGCAATTAATTAGTTCGGGTTATAGTTCATATTTTTATTATAATTAAACTATAATTTTTACCATTTAACCCAAACTTGTCGTTTAAGTCAAACTTGTCATACTGTAATTGAAATCTAACACTATTTAAATAATAATTTTAATTATTATAATGGTTTCTATTTGTTATTTTAAGTAAATATGTTTAAATTTTTGTTTATAAAAATAAATGATTATTTAGTAAACAATTTTTAATAATTTATTATAAACTAGGGATGAAGTAAAATCCATTTTACCTGTTTACCAAAAAAGAGAAAAAATTGGTAAAATATTTCTCCAATTTACGATCTTAAAGATCTTTATATTTTAAAAAACATTTTTATTGAAAGTCAAAAAAGTAATAACAAATTGCAATTAAAAACAGTTAATTCAAAAAGAAAAAAATATAAGATTTTTGCCGATATACAAATATTTTTTTTCTTGTTCAAAGATTTACATACAGAAAAAAACATCAGACAAAAAAAATCATTCAAATACCAACATTATTTATTTTAGATACTGAAAATTTTTAGCAAAAAAAGAACACAATTCAAACATTTCTTCAGATAAATTTTTTCTGTCGTCCGTAAAAATATGTTTGATTATAGAAAACAAACTCTCACAACTAGTCTCGGTAGCTGGTATATGAACGTATTTTAAAGCAATTTTGTATAAATTTGGGTACAAATTTATTCCCACTTCACACCGCCAAGTACCGAGATTTTTTTCACATCTTGTTAAAACGTTAAGCATTCTTTGTTGTTTGTCCAAGAAATTATCAATTTCTGACGACTCTTCAATTTCTATTTTAAATGGAACAATTGGTACTGAAGCACTTTTTTCATTAATAGTTTGGTGAGATTTATCAATTACATTTTTAATATCTTTTAATTCTTTATAAATT